GGTTCATCCGTTTCAGTCCTCCCGGAAGACGTCTATCGAAGACACTTCCACTTTTACAAGTTGGGATGTTCGAGTACAACACTTCTGGATTACTCCGCAAAAGACATTCTCGTTGTGGGGAAATTCGACGCACCCGGGCAGTTCGCGCAAAGACGTGGCACCTGCACATTCACCGTCGCACAAACAGGCGCGGCTGTTATGGGCCTAAACGCCTTACGTGCGTTGGACATCCAACTAAACTTTGCTCCTGCCGACGGTGAACAGGCGGCAACGGTCTCCGCGAGAAACCTTACAGAGATCCCACAAGACTTCACCCATCTGTTCTCCGATGAATTAGGTCATACGAAAGGATTCGTACATAAGGTAAAGACGAGAGATTCCGTCGCTCCTTTCCAACAAAAGCTACGAAGACTACCTTTCGCAGTGCGCGAGAAAGTTTCTGGGAACTGGTGAAGCTGGAACGCTCCGGGGTTATCGAGCGCCTCGATGCTTCGGAGTGGGTGTCTCCCATCGTGGTGGCCCCCAAGAAGAATGGGGAGATCCGGCTTTGTGCAGACGCAAGTCGAACACTGCAATAGTTTTGGATTCCCACCCTCTACCATGCCTCGACTAACGTTTTCCATCAGCTTTCCGGTGCCCGCGTCTTTAGCAAGCTAGATCTTTCGTCGGCGTATCATCAGTTGGACCTGGCAGATGAAAGCAGAGACCTAACGGCATTCGTGACGCGTGAAGGTCTCTTCAGATTCACCAGAGTATGTTTCGCGCTGGCATCCGCCGCCCGTGCCTTTAAAAAGATGATGGACTGCAAACTCCGAGGTACTCCAGGTACCATCGTCTACCTGGACGATGTACTTATTTTCGGACGCACAAGAGAAGAGCATGATGCCCGCCTGAGGAAAGCTCTTTCACGCCTTCAAGATGCAGGCTTAAAACTAAACCAGCAGAAATGTTTTTTTTTTTTTTTGCAGTTCACCAGTTTCGATGTTAGGACATGAGCTGACACCGCAGGGAATCAAGCCATGCCAAGGTAATATTGAGGCTATCATGCAGGCTTGACCCCCCACAGACGTAACATCACTTCGATCGCTACTCGGCCTGCTCACATATTACCTCAAGATTGTACCGAACTTCGCGACCATCGTGGAGCCTCTGCACGCGCTCGTGCGGAAGGATGTCCCCTTCTGATGGAAAAAGGCACAAAAAGAGGCATTCACTGCTGTCAAGGATCTGATACGGAACAGCGTTCCACTGACTGTTTTCGACGTGGCGCTGCTTACCGTCATCACAACGGATGCATCTAATTACGGATTAGGCGCAGTTCTACAGCAAGAACATCCGGAAGGAATTCGAACGGTGACGTTCGCATCGCAAACACTTTGAAGCGCCGAACGCAACTACTCTGCATTGTAGAAAGAGGCATTGGCATGCCTTTGGGCCTGCGAAAAATGGCACGTTTTTCACTTCGGGCGCCATTTCTCATTAGAATCTTCAGCCGGGAAGGGTATCCGGAGGTGATTGTTTCTGATCATGGCCCACAGTTTCAATCCCGCATATTCCAGGAGTTCCTGAAGTCCAGAGGGATTTTTCATCATCGGCCTGTGATATACCATTCACAAGCCAATGGTCAGGTTGAGCGCTTCAACTGAGTTCTTAAGCAGTACGTCCAAACTATCCTACAGGAACAAGGCAACATTCGTACAGGCCTTGGGAAATTTCTGGGTGTCTACCGAAGCACACCACATGCAGCGACGAAGCTCACCCTCGCTGAGCCCATCCACGGACGTAAAATACGGACGCGTATGGACATTGTGGGCTTCCCACGTTTTGAAAAGCCCTTCACATCGAGATGCAGCAACTCCGCCAACGGATTGCTCATTACCAGAAGCACAGCAAGCAATACACAGATGATAGGCGGAGAGCCTAACCATTTACATTGGGTGTAGGGGAGTATGTACGGGTAAAGATCCCTACACACCGACCAAAGGGAACACCATCGTTTGGTCCCCCTGAAAGGATTCATGAAGCGGTGGGACCAAGCACCTTCGTCACGTCAGGAGGAGGATGCTGGAATTCGTCGAGGTTGTCTCGAACACACATTCCAGTAAGATACGAAGTACAGGTGGACTACGCCAATCCAGAAGCTGGAGCAGATACACAGCTGCCGCTTCCAGCTCCACGAAAGTCCACAAGGAATAAGAAACCTCCAGACAGGTTCTCCCCATGTTGAACTCTGCTTCGAAGGGGGGATTGTGTTGTGTCTACAAGCAGATCCTGGCTGTAGTAGACGAAGACGAAGGGGGATACGAACGAAGCACGAGATGGAGCAACTGGTTTTTCCGTCCTGTCTTACATAGGTGCTCGTATTAAAAACACAACAAAGTTACAATCAACATTGATGACGAGAAAGAGCACCTCGATATTGCCACGCACGTCTCCCAGCAAACACGCCCGTGGCCGAATCGTTATCGTGCTGGGCTCCCACGCAAAGTGGCCAAGTTCAATGCCTGGTAGTGGACGCACCTTTTAAAGGCAGCTCTTTGGAGTCCGTCTCTGCGTGGAGCGGCGTCGGCGTTGCATTATATAACGTCACAGTTTCCCCGCTAAATTTAGCGGGGAAACTGAATTGGTGTTGAGGTCATGTGACGACAGGTTTACCGCTAAATTTAGCGGGGAACTGAATGCGCAGTGTTGCAGTATGGAACGTCACACACCTTCACACCAATTCATTTTTCCCGCTAAATTTATCGAGGAACGGAATTGGTGTTGAGGTCATGTGACGTCAATTTTCCAGCTAAATTTAGCGGGGAAGCTGTGGGAGGAGAGGGTTTTGTGAAGGAGGAGGTAGGGAGGGTACAGAGTAGGAGTGGGTACGCAGGAGGAGAGGAGAGGGTACGAAGAAAGAGGTAAGGGTATGGAGGGTACGGAGGAGGGGAGGGTACGGAAGAGGAGGAGGGGAGGATACGGAGGAGAAGGTACGAAGGAGCGAGAGGATACGGATCCAGAGGAGGATTGTGCAGGACCAATATGTGAGGAAAGTGATCAACATTTGGACCTACATATATATTTCTTTCTCAAATTGTTTAGCACTGTATATCGCAAAATCAAAATACATCAAGAGCTGCGCTCTAATTTCGCATTACAGAAATTTCTAAACGCCTTTCATTTTTTTTTTTTTTTTTTTTTTTTTTAGTTCTGTAAATGTCGCGTTTTGGTAACTTCGAGAACCCTGTTGGCTCGTTCGAGGCTCGAATGTTCGACGTGCCGAACCTCCTACGCGAATTGTTCCAGATGCCCACGCATGTGCAAAAGGCAAGCCGAAGTCAGTCTCGCCCCAGCGCTCAATCCTGCTGTTTCACCGATATCGACGCCTGCGACGCTATCCCCCTTCTATTTTGTATTGGGTACAAGGCTGCCCATTTAAACGTTTAGTTTCTCCCGTTATTCGCCGCCTCATCATTTGTCATTCGTGACAATATTCAATTAAGTTCCATAGGCCAGGGGGGAGGAAGAGGAAGACATTATCGGCCATGTGACCCATAGCCACGGGGAAATAGAAAAGCTCACCCTCGGCGTTTGACGCGCAAGGGATGCGGGCGCGCCACGCTCGAGTTCAGGAGCCGGAATTCGGTGGTCGGCTTCTGAAGTATAAAGGTGTGCTTTTCTTTTTTCTTTTCTGCCTACCTGGTCCTTCTTGCGGGTGAGCAGTACGCATCGAACACTACACGTCATATGAGACGCCATGGCTACTGCCTTTCCTGGTTGGTCCTCGGAGCGATCCGATGCCGTGACTGGTAACGTGGTAGTGTGTATATGGCGCATCCTTAACTTGTATCCGACTTAGAGGAACACCTCTAAAGTTCCCTGCATGCCACCACCAGTACTAGGAAGGCCGAGGCACGCGAATTTTAAAGTAATCACACTGCGATCGAGTGAGGCCGCAGTATGATTACTCAAGTATTCGAGTGCCGCGTCAGTGGCCGGCTGCGGGTCTTGTTCAATCGGGGCTTTAGCAGGCGCTCGGCACCCAATCACTGAGTCGTTGATGTCGTAGTGTGATGCCGTTTTATGGAGGACGAGGACGAAGTGAAAAACCAAGGATCTGCAGTAGAAGCCCTGCCTCCACCGCGAGCTTTATAGTGGAGATAACACTTCGCTGAAAAGCCTTCGAATTGAAAGACCGGATCCGTCCGGAAACGTCGTATCCGTGGCCGCCATATTTACCGTGCACGCTCAGCCTGTCTCAGTTTGCACGTCTGCGCGAAGAGCACTTTAGCCTATGTTGTTCTCGTCACATAAAAGTCCCCCGCTGTTTTTAAAAGAAACAGCTCTGTACAAAAACCGTCAATGGACCTTGCTTGCTCATGTTGGTCACACAGTTGAAAGTCCACGGGAGAAAGCGTCAGCAACGGTGCGAAGCTGCAGGTCTCCCGTGCTGTCATGTCACGTGACGGAATGGTTGACGTTATCTAAAGTAACGTCGAGAGTTGGGCTAATTGATATTTGCTTATCATAACGCAGAAACAGCGCAAAAAAACACGGACGCAGCCGAGGAATCACGCAAAGAGGTTATGGACGCGGTTCGAACTAAGCGTTCGTCCTGTACTCGTGTTTCTTCTGCTCCGTCTGTGTTTTTCGCGCTGTTCCTGCATTATGGTTGACATTAAGATGTTATGTCATAGTTCACATGGTGTCACAACCTCCCATGATATCATCGTCACGTGATGTCATATATACTCTCACGTAAAGGTAAGTTACGTCATAGCGTCAATTGACGTGATGTCATAATGGACCCGATAAATTTAGCGGAAAATTCTTTCTGCTATACGCCGAAAAAAATTAGGCCCGTTAAAAACCCCAAGTGCTATTGTACCTTCGTGGCTTTTGACAAATGTCCAAGAGAGGCGATGTTGTTTTTTTTGTTTTTTTTTTGCCTCTTCCGCTTAACGGACATTGCTTGAACCACCTCAATGCAAGCTGAAGTGCATTGCACAGGTACTCACAACAAAGTTGGCCTTGAGCAGGCCGCGGAGCAGCATCAGGAAGTAGGGCACGATACGCTCCTTGTGCTGAAAGCCCGACTCCATGAAGTAGATGCCGAGCGCGATGACGGCATCCTGGCCACGCTGGTCTATTCTGAACACTCCAAGTGACACCTCGGTCGGACACGGGGTCATCAGCTTGGCCACCTGTTCGAAAGACCACGGCGGTCACCAAAGCGAGCATTTGGAGCTCATCATCTGCGCCCTTATAAACATCCTTGGTGGGTTTTGAGCAATTCTACAGCATCCCATGCTCGTGCCTTCAGTGCGGTAAATGCGAGCGCGGGCTTGCACGCGCAAGATACCTGCAAAAAAGCGCTCCAAAACCTCTTCAGGGCTACAGAAGTAATTTCCCAACTGGATGCTCCTCGAGGAGAAATACGCTTTCATCGTGATATTGCTTTGTACATCTAATTAACGGCATATGCAATTTTCTTTACCTTGCGCACTGTAATTTCCCATAGCTACTATGAATTCTGGGCAAATATTAACACCACAAAGTAATAGTTTGCTAGACCTTGTGCGAACCTCCCCCCCCCCCTTCCCCCCCCCCCCCCCCCCTAAATAACGCTAAATAACGAGCGTTACTTTTTATCAGTAGCGTTAATGTGTTCTTTTTATTTTGAGGTAACGTAGGTTGGTAAGGCGTTCCTTTAATTTGCAAGTAACGAGTAACGTATTTCGTTACTTTTTTTTTCGGTAACGCCTTCAACGCCGATTGAGTCGCGGGACCTTCGAATCCAGAAGAAATTTAAGGGGGGGGGGGGGGGGGGGAGGGGGGGGGTTAGGACACGAAAATCGAGCAGGCAGGTTACTCTTGATACAAAAGGCTCACATTTTACGTAATCTATGGCACGCGTGTTGAAATACAGACATCGTTGGGGTTCGGCTGTTTTCGTTAGTGCAGCTATTTGACGCGTGTCACTACCCGAACGCTTGTAGAGGCATTGATTGCCACGAGCCCAAGCCGAACGTTCACGCAGTGCTTGTGTACAATCTGTGAGAAGTATTTGGATATCCTTATCACGGGATATTCTCCATGACTACAACAACAATGCAATTCCGGTAACTACGTCAAGTTCTGTGAAGGAAAGGCTGAAAGGAAAAGTGCGCTTTTATCCATGAAACTACACTGCGACAAAGAAGCTTCTCGCACTCTAAAAAAGAAAGAGTGTAGTGGGGTGCATCCATTGGGGCTGTAGGTGCTTGTCACATATACTACACCCTTTGGGGGAATATTCGTACACCCCAAAGATGGTAGTACGTGAACACCCGTTGGTGTGGTGCACAAGTACACTTTTTCTACACCACTCTCACTTAAAGGGAACACAGGTGCACCCCATTCAATGGTGTACGGTTACACATCTCTTTACAACCAATGAAATGAAAGGGGACACAGATGCACCCCATTCGAAGGTGTGCCATTGCACCGCTTCATAAACCCGCCTCACTCAAAGGGAACACAGATGTACCCCGCCTCAATAGTGTACCATAACTCTCCTTTCAATACCTACTGCCCTCAAAGAGAACACAGGAGCACCCCATTCAATGATGCACTGCCACACCTATCTCTACATCCACTGAACTCGAAGGGAACACAGATGCACCCCATTCAAAGGGGCACCGTTACAGGAAATCCTTAGAAGATTTACTCGCTCAGGTGATTGCAAAAAGACAGGTAAATAGACACAATGGATTGTTTTCAAATCTCCTAGAAGTTTATTAGACAGTCCATTCCATAAACAAGTTCAAACTTGCAAGCAATTCGTGATATACGAAGAGGTACAACGAAGTTGTTACACAACTGAGAATATCACTAAGCAAACAAGAACCGGGGCATTCCTTAGGTAGTGTCTATTCTCCCAGCAGCCGGCAGAATTATTTCCCCGAACTTCTACCAGCAGTCGCCACCCATTGGAGGTACAATCACTTCATCGAACGACGTTTCATCGACACGCGATGTTTCATAGACAGCTCAGATTAGCTTTCCTATATTAGCTTCCTACTTTTCTTCTTGTAATGAGCCGCCCCGCACAATCCGCGAAAACACAAAAACGAGGAGGAGGGGTCCGTGAAGATTCAACACGATGTGGCAGAAGCAGCCGTTTGCCGAACAGAACACTACACGTATCACAAGAATGTCTTGGGCTTTTTTGAAGAAATCTTTTCAAACACTGGTAGCATTGGTACACTTCGAATATTTTGTCATGGTCAAAATCTACGCAAGCTTCGCAGGTCGCAGCACAGCAAGCAAGAAACCAGGCCAGGAACGAGGCATTCCGGGATTAGAAAAGCTACTACGTCATCCGTGAAACCTTTACCACGTAATAACGCCCCTACCTTTATCCGCGCCGAGAGAGCAGAGTCAAGTGATGTAGTAAGCTGGGTGCACTGATACACCTAGACGTTTTACTGCAAAGCTGTATAGTTCTACCAACCAAGGAAATTTTTGTGTCGTCGTCTTAAGCAAAAAAACTCCCGGCGAACAATTAAAGGCAAAACAACATATCTCCTTTAATATCAGTATCCGTTTCAATAAAGGAAACCACAAAACAAGCATCAAAATCACATGATGAATGATAAGGCGCGTGGGACCAATAGGAACACCCTCCCACGCGTTCCGGTAAAGATTAGGTTTGCAGCTGCTTCGAAAGGGGTTGACATCATTCGAAGTCCTCGTGTGAAGTGCAAAAAGCTGCCGCGGCGACGGCAGCTTGCGACGTGGGGAGTGACGTCGCTAGCCTTCCATATATAAAAGAACCCGCCTATACCCCGTTTCACCTTACATCCGGACGCAGCGGATGCTATGAGCTATCTGAGACAATCCCGTTCTGTGGACGTGGTCGGTGATACGCTTTCCGCGCGTCGCTGTGCCCCCTCTCTAAGGTCACGTGACACTCACACGGCCTCCGATTGGCTCCGATGGCTCGTAACATCCGCTGCGCTTAAAAGTAAGATGTAACGGAGTATAGCAACTGATTTCATTGTTGCTGCAGCGCCGCGATGAATAGGACACGCATAGTTAGGACTCCCAAGGAGCAGCGTGAATACTAGGAGCGGTAACGGGAAAAGGAACGGCAATACGACCAGCGGCGGCGTGCTACGACCGGCGGCGGCATTTCGTATAGTGCAGTAGGCAATCGCTGCGGGTGATACCACAGCTTCGCTTACCTATCACCTTCACAGCCTGGATTGGAGCACCAATTTTTTTAAGAGAGGAGGATGCTTATGGTCGATGTACAAGTACATTGGCTGAGTAACTGGGGGGTGCATCTTCCAGGAAAGGGGTGCATGTCCGCCATATGCACCCGACCACACCATTTATTTGTTAGAGTGCGGTCAGTGGCGTAGCGCACATGTGAGTATACTTGGCTCCCAACCTGTAAACTTGTGTAAAGTGAGACACATTACAACTCAAAATTGTCACAAATGACGATTTATGAGGCGACGAATGACTGAGGCAAACTTAAGCGTTTAATGGACCGAACTTGCACCCAAAACAAAATAGAAAAGACTAGCGTCAACGGCGGCGTAACAGCAGGATCGAGCGCTGGGCGAGACTGACTACGCACGGTGCGGTGCGGCTTTTTTTCAGCCTTCCCTGGGAGCCTAGAATATTCTACATCGTTCGTTCTGGAATTATACATTCTGAATATGAACAAGCCTAGTCGGTTCTCCAACCCTCTCGAATCTTCTATTTACACAAATAAAGGTAAAAGAACACGCAGTGCTGGGAATCGAACCCGAGCCACCTGCGAGTAAAGCGCGAAACACATGTACGACGAAACCGTCCGATCCGACGTCCGACCGCGCAATACGACGGTCGGAGGCGAGGGTTTTCAACGCTCTCCGATGCTACGAACACCCTCTCCCCCCAAGGTCATTCCGGCAGTCCGCACGTCGGATCGGACGGTTTCGTCAAACATGTGTTTCGCGCCTAAGCCCAGCGCTCTGCGTACTCGGCCACGTAAGCGAGCGACATCGTTGGTACACGTCCAGTTTAATGCCGCACCGGTAGCACTTTTAGTTGTTCGGGATCACGAGGCATGTTTTTCCCAAATTTCACCAGATTTCGTCTTGTCCCTCTAACGAAGACACCAAATGCTCAACCAAAAAGAACACCTCCCTCCCGAAAAAAAAAAAAAAAAAGAATAAAGAGCTATCGGTCTTGACCATATTCAGAACATCCAGAGCTTGTCGTTATCTGCATCCTGTTGGTAATAATATCCACCATAGCAAAGTTGTACGTCCCCTTCTATGTGATTCCTTACTTATGGTGAATTTAGTTCAAAAGTCTTAATCGCTTTTATAAAATTTTTGAAGAGAAAATGTCGGAGGACCATCGAATAGGGAGTATTCCCTGGCTGCTATTGTTGTGTGCGTGAATGCTGAGCGTGTGCTGACGGCGGGATTGCCCAGTTCTTTTGCAACGTGCATGACAGAAAATCAAGAAAAGCCTTGTTTTGTTTGAAAGAGGTCATTCCAAGTTGGTAAAAAGAGGGATAGCCTTAACATGTCTTAATGTGGCTCTGGAAAAATGTTGCAAACATGAGATGCCAATCAGTTTTGAACGGCAAGTAAGAAGGTTAAGAGACGTAGGGTACCCCCTAAGCTACTCTCTTGCTGTTGTGAGAGCCTTCTCCTGTAGCTAAAAAGAAGTAAATGATGCAGCGATGCAAGAAAAGAAAGGAAAAGCGTTCGAGTCATTCCGTATACATGTATGCTGCCTCCCATAATCTAAAAAGGTAGCCGGCACACGACATCCACGTGCTCTTTTCTGCCCCGTGTAAACTTGCTAGGATCTGTCTGATGTTGATAAGGCAGAAAAAAAAACACCCTTGTTCCAAGAAGCACGCGGTGCAATATGCTGATTGTGTAGCCGACGTGTTGTACGAGATTCCGGTTAGTTGTGGCAAGGTATACATTGGGCAGACTGGGCGCTGCTCCAATCATAGAGCACGTGAGCATAATCTGTGTGTGCCAACGAAATAGCCGGGCTTAGAGCGATAAACTGGTATCCCGTTCACCAGGCAAAAGTGATCCCCACTTGGCTGCCGCCATGTTGTACACTTTTGACCAGTAGACACGTGACCGTACCAAATCCTAAGGCTTTTACGCTAAACTGAGCCGAGATTTGTATTGCGATC